TATTATGTAACAACCCAAACTTTAAGATTCGTAATGCCACTTGATGAGAAAATACAAGAAGTCGGAGATATAACAAGTCCTTAGTAGAGCTCGATGAAAAACTTCCGCTATAAATGATACTTCTTTGTAAAAGCTTTAGCAGAGCTCGATGAAGAACTTCCGCTGTAAAAGCTACCTTCATAATTCTACCACAAGCTTTATCAAAAATCTTCAACTCTGAAAAGTCACAAATCCAATTTCGAATGGCCATACCAAATTCTCCCCCGATTTATAATCAAAAACATGATTATAAAGCCTTCAAATAGTCATGAGAATGATCTTGAATGGATAAAAATTTACTAAGCTCCCCCGTGACAAAATGATATTAACGATGAAGTATAAAATCCGAAAAAGCCGTGAAAATTTGACGTTATCACGAAAAACGACTTTCCGAACCGCCAAGACTTGATGGAATCTTTAGTTTTCTGTTCACGGAAAAAAAATATGTGCGTTAAAAATCCAAAACTATTCACTGGCCCTCAATGTAGTAAACTTTTCTGAATATTGGGCCGAAACTGTCACTTGCTGAAAGACAGGGGTTGGAAGGGTAATTCAGCATCAATATACCCCTTTATTTGAAGCAAAAACTGGAAATGATCCAAAAATACCAATCTGTGAAGACAACAGGGACCAAAAGTGCTAATGCACTGAAGTTGCAGGGACCAACAATTAAACTTTACTTTCTTCTTCCCCATTTAGACGTAGATGAAAGAGCACAACATCATACTCCAGTTGATCTTTCAATGATGAGTTAAACCAGATGCGAAACCTTGAAATTGGCACCTATAAACATCGACTGCAATAGGTTCGCTCCGAGTACAAGCAACCGAAACCAAGTTCGGTCCAGGTTCATTGAACCGGAACCATGTTCGGTCCGAGCATAGGTTCACTTTCGGTTCATCCTCCATTTGCTCCAACCATTAACAAGCGAACCCAAGTTCGTTGTTCCAGGTTCGGTCCTAATTCATCAGCATTACCCCAAGGCGAATCTCCATTATTTCATTCCAAGAGCTACCAACCGAGCTCAATCACAGGTTCGCTTATGAATCAAACAAATACAGTGACCATCTGTAAGCTGCGAATCTAGGCAACCCTGAAACCCCCGAAACCGTGATCTCTCGCTCCGACTCCAACGATCACAAACCCCATACGAATCACAGATGAACAGTACAGAACACATAATTTTCCATGAATAGTTGCTTGAACAGAAGTCTTGATTCCAAGATACCAAACCACCAATAATCTTCAAAATCTTGTGTAGAAAATCATCAAATCAAGAACCGATACTTCAAAAATCAATAGATCTTCAAAGACCTACTCTGATACCACTTGTTAGAACAATGTTCCATCAGGATCGAATTATTCTAAGCAAAATATAAATAATAACGTAATGAAGAACACAAGTATTGCACTGAATATGTCGAATGATTAATGCAAAGATACCCCAGAAGAGCTCGATAAAGAACTTCAATCTATAGAGGTATATTAGGGTTACAAGAATCAACGTAATCGACTATTCTATTATATGCATACATGCATGCATATATTTATAATAAAACCCTAACAACTTATCTAGATAAAAGGAAACTATTCTAGATAACTACGGATGGACAAGCCCAATCCGATTACAAAACAAAAAGGCCCAAGACGCAACACTAAAATACTTAACAAAGCTCTTTTTGCCAAAAATTTTGGTGAACCGCAGTCATTGTTATTCAACTGCAGTTTCCTGGAACCTTTTGAATTATTTTGAAAACGTGGGCTAGAACCATCAGAACTTGAAGATTCTGGAATTTGAGAGCATTGGCCTACCTCAAAATTTTCTATAGACAATTCGTGAAAAATCGATTGAAGAGTTGTAGTTCCTTGAACTGAAGCGTTGCAGTCATTGTTTTTTAACTGCAATGAAGATAATTTGACTATCGCAGAGTAGGTTTTAGATGAGACTGCGGTGGGACATTTCTGTGACAGTTAACTACAGTCTGAGGACAAAGATGGAAAGTCCTCTGAGACTTCGGGGCCTTCAACAACAATTTCTTCATCAACTTCGGATGAAGCTTGAGAATTGGAGTGAGTTGTGCCACTGATGGGAGTTTGATCACATATCTGACTAGAATCCTCGAGCACAATTTCCTCAATGTCACAATTATTGCTCAAATTGTGTAGTCTACCGAAGTGAGTTTTGATATCTTCGGGAAAAGTCTTGTCATTGATAGGGAAATGAAATTCTCTATCAGGAGGGACATACACTCTGTCTTTGTTGAACCGGGGTGAGGAATCCATTGTGGTAGGATATCCATTTGACCAACCCCAATTATATGTATTGTCTACGGTTCCATTGTTTACCAAAATTTCAATAGCCTCACTTTCATTAAACAGTTTTTCAATTAAAAGATTCAAGCGTACAATTTCTCTCTGAGCTAAATCTTTTTGATTCAAGGCTATTTCTAATTGAGTTTCACTTAACATTATAGCATCTTTCTCTAACTCTAGATCCCTTTCTAACATTTCCATATTAAGTCTCTTGTTATCCAGTCTTCCTCTCACGTGGAACATCTCTTGGGACGCAGTGTTCTTCTCATCTAAGGCTTTGTTATAGTCTGAAAGGACGGCAACACAAGTGTCATTAAAATCATCTATGTAGGGTTGACAATCATGCATGCTATAATTTAATGTTTGGATCATGAGTTTTACCTGTTCAACGATTCTTAGAGTCCCATCTTTCGCCATGTAGCAATAGTTTTTGTTTAACATTGCTGACCCATCATCATCTGCAGTGGCCAACATGCAGATTTTCCCTTTTCCTTTAACACTACTGATGGTCTCTTCTTCATCTCCTGATGACCAAACTTGATGGTCTCTTTTAACTTGAGCCACGTATTCCCATGCCTTTTCCTTTTCTTCCAATTCTTGAGCCATTCGAAGATAGAAAGCTCTGTCCTTGACTACATTTGCCTTACAATTTTTTGCAAAGTGATTTTCTTTATTGCATTTGTGACAAATCACAACATCATTCTTGTCTTCTGATTGAGTACCGGAATCATTGTTCTGAGGAGACTGTGGTACCTCCTTGTGTTGATTGTTCTGAGAGAAATTTGGATACCGAGAGTTGTTGTTATGAGGACCGAAGTTACGGTTGAATGGTGGTTTGTTGAATTGTTGATTCTTGCGGAAAGAGGAAGGTGGTATGCGGTTGAACTGTTGGCTAAATAGAGCAATAGCCTTCTGAAAATCTTCTTCATCATCATACTCATAATCTGTTTCGTATGACTGTGGTGGGATGTCATAAGAGGAAGAGTAGGATGACTACGGTGGAGCTTGTGATATGAGAGCAAGCGGTCCTCCGAAGTCAGCACATTCTTTGAGTAGTGGATTCTTGTGCTTGAAGTTCTCCATAGAGTTTGTAGAGTGATAAAGAGTGAATCTTTCTGTCACCTTGGACTATCATTTTGGCCGGAGTCCAATGTCTTCCTAGACCATTAAGGAACTAGAGATTGGTTTCATGGTTGTTGCGGATGGTACCAGCATTCGATAACTTCGTGACTATCAAGTTGAATCCTTTGAAGGAGTCTTCCTAACTTTCACTAGCATGAGCTTTGAAGTTGTTGATGTCGTTGAGTGCGGTTGTGAGCTTCTTATCTTGTGCTTGTTCTGAGCCTTCGTACAGGTTTTTGAGTACATCCCAGATCTCTTTTGCTGACTTGCGGTTTATGATAATATCAAAGTTGTCAGGAGCAACACCACACGAAATTTCATAAAAAGCAACAACATCATTTTCCATTTTATCGAGATCATCTTTGGTAGGACGGCTCATAGTTGGTTGACCTCCTCCTAGTCTGGTTGCAGCGCCGTCAGTTTGGATTGGTGTGAGGGCTGGAACATGTGGTCCTTCTTCCACGGATCTCCATACATCTGTACCCAATCTTATTAAGTACCTCTCCATTCTTTGTGACCAGTGATGATATTCATTTGCTACAAGTATTGGGGCTCAGTTAGAACCACCAACACTATTGGAGACATTCAGAGATAACGATTGTGCCATTTTGTGTTTTTTTTTTTTTTGAGAAATGAGCTCTAGTGGTATAGAAGGCTTAATGAGAAAATCGGAGTTCCGATATCCAAAAAGCAACCACTTTGGCTCTGATACCAACTGTTGAGAGAAAAACTTGGAGACACACTTGAACAAACGTTAGAACAAGTAAGTTGCGGAATAGTTAATCTCTAAGGATCTAAAAGCTCAACAATAATAAAGTTAGATAGCTAGATAGTTAGTTGCAGAAAGTAAAGAAAGATAAATGACAAAAGTTATATCAAGAATACACTTAAACTGATTCAAAACAAGGAATGCAGTCACTCCAAGTTAGTAAGAGAGATCAAGTTTAGTGATTAAGTCTAGAAGACTTGCTCCGAAGAGAGGTTATGTTCCAGTAGCAGTTTGAGTGTGAAGCGTAATAAGATAGATAACTAATGAAGATAAGAAAGATGATTGAATGTGAAATCTTGTTTATTGAGAAGATAAGAGTTTTCACACTCACATGTATCACCAATACTTAATACATAAGAAAGAGTCTCTATTTATAGAGTTCAGAAAAGAACTACTCTATGAGCAGCCGTGCAAGGCATGCTGGACAACAGAGTGAAAGAAATAACTAAGACTGTGGATAAGAAAGACTTGAATACTTTGGATGCTGATATGGTTCCTGATGGAGAATGGTTGCTGTTACAGTTGTAGAGATTGACTATGGGTGTTGTATTGGCTGTAGGTACTGAACGGTTACGGTAGTTAAGTTCAAGAGGGTCACTTTTATGTTTCAACAACTGTTCTCAAAAGTTGTGTCACAGATATCAACCTTTACTTGTAGAATCTAATAGAGACTCATGACTCATTTCTTACGGTATCGGTACGAAAACATCTGCAATCTTCTCCATGCTCAATCGTATTGAAGGTGTTTTGAAATTAGATGCTCTTCCAAAACAAGGGGGAAGCTAAGAAGCCATCTAATGAAGAACCCCAAAAAAACACAACAAATGATTATGGTGAGTTCGAAAATAAACCACTGTCGGAAAAAAAAGATTAGAAGGGTAATGAAGCTTCTGGATCTAAAGGAAAAGGAAAATTGGTTGATGATGAAGATGAAGAATAAAAAGATTTATCTGTTGGGTCAAAGCTCAATAGAAAATCATGCGACAAATAGCTTGATGAAATTGATCGTGTTGCTAAAGAAGCTTTAGTTCGTGAAAAGGAGGCTGGTGATGCACAAGTCAAAATTAAAAATCTAAAGGACCTCTTCCCTCCTTGGTCCACAGAGCAGATTCTGAACGAGGATATCGACAACCCAATGTTTTACTTGTTGGAACCAATTGTCTCATTTGGCTTGGATAACTCTTCGGAATCTCAACTTGATTTTATGAAAACTCCGAAGGCCTTTTTATTTTGTTGTTTTGACAAGATTGAGAAAGCTCCTGATTCAGATAATGATGTCAATCTTATGCTTATATCCTTTTATCTTGAGCACGGATAGCCCCAATATCAAACTTGGAGTTCGATGAAGATAGCAGCAGGGAAAGTTTTAGGTCCGGTTGAAACAGAAAGCTTCATTAATGCTCGGTTCAAAGCATGATGGGGGCAAAAAAAATTGATATTTGAATTCACTCTTGCTGACTTGCTGTGCCTAAATCCATACGACTGGATTTCTTTCTTACAGAAATTCGAAAAAAATTCACTCTCGTTGACTTGTTGTGCAACTGATTACTTCCTAAAATCTCAGCTGGTCCAATAGTCCGAAATACTTCCCATGATACAAATCCAAAACTTTATGTTACTACTGCCCATGACAAGAATATAACCCTTGACCTAAATGGACGGTCACCCATCCAACTGCTGTAACGCCTGAGTCACCAAGTATAAAGTTTAACCATTCTTTCAATTAAAATCAAGGACTGGACAACAAGTACGATGGGCGTACACTAAGTACGCACGACGCACTCCTTTGCACGTGGATATCAGAGTGAACTGTACATATGATGGGCATACCCATGTGTATGTAGAGCGTACTAAAGCCAGAGGAAAACCCTAATCTTTAAGGTTTGCACCCTATTTAAGCTAGTTAAGTCCTTCATGTTCACCACCTTATCAGCCTCCCTTTCCTCTTAACTCATATCTCGAAACCTTAATCCATTTTCCCTAAAGTTTGAGCTTGAGTGTGTTTTTGGTGTGTGTGGTGCTTAGAGAAGAAGAAGAAGAAGAAGAAGAGTTGTGAAGAAGCATTAGATTAGAAAGAGCTTGTAGATCCAGAGGTTTGCCATTATTTCTAGCTTATTGAAGGTAAAAATCTTCTACCAACTTATAACTCCATGTGTTAGTTTGTAGTTCAGGGCTTATTTCTTCATAAAAATGGTCCTTTAAGGAGTTCTTGATAGTACGAGCTACTCCAAAAGGATATAATACTAGATCCTAGTGTTTGTAACGTCCCTTGAGCATAAAAATTGAGTCTTGATGGAGTAAGCTCAATCATGCAAGGATTGAAGGTGGTTTCATGAAGATAATGTGGTGTAATCCAAGATTTTCACCATTAATACATGAAAAAGCATAAATTTGGCAACTTTATGTCTTAATGTACTTTAATAAGCCTACATCAAAAATTTGACATTGGGTCATATCTAATAACGACCTTGGATTGAAGTTTTGACCAGTTACAGCGTATGCTGGGCATACCTTAGGGTACGTTGTGCATATGCATCTGAAATCCTGATGATGTGAGGGTTGTGAGTACACCGGGCGTATAGGTTGGTACGCGGAGCGTACTTATCAAAGTGGGTCTTGGGATTGTTTCGGTTCATTTGTAGGATTTAGGGACTTTAGGCCCTTTTTGGGTCGTAAGCTTTTTTGTGATAGCCCTTTGGGGCTTGGGTCCTTTTGGACACAAATTATCTTTTGGGCTTCATGGCTAGTAACATTTAGCACTTGATGGTCTAGGCCCAATAAGGCAAGGAATAAGTGACTTTTTCCGTTAAGGCCAGGATTTAGTGTTTGGATTCTCGGGATGGATTAGTGACAAATTTTCTAATTAGGGTTTCTTTACTTGTGATTTAGTGGGGATTTCCTGTTTAGCAGCCTGATCATTTGGTTGAGTGTAATCAGTTTGAGTTGAGTTTGCTCACTATACTATAGGACACCCAGATATGTTATGTGCTTGTAGTCTTTGTGACTCCTGTTATATGTGTTATATGCCTATGTGCTTGTTTGCTATATATATATATATATATATATATATATATATATATATATATATATATATATATATATATATATATGTGTGTGTGTGTGTGTGTGTGTGTGTGTGTGTGTATGGTGAAATAGAATTGGGAGTGAAATAGACCCAATACGACTTAGGCCAACACATGATTTGAAATAGACATGGGGGTGAAATAGACCTGACACAACCTTGAGTTGGAAGATATGTATGGTATATGATATTTTGGGCAACTCTCTAAGCTTCGTGCTTACAGTTTTCAGTTTATGTTTCAGGTACTTTTGGATCGAAGGGTAGGAGGTCAGGATGATTGCATCGCACGTACCATATTGCTCCGCATTGAATTTTACTATGATATATTTGGATGATTTTGACACACTCTGATTTTGTTATGATTTAAAAAAAAAAACGTTTTGGTTGATGGTTTTATTATTATAAAAATTGAAATTTTTAGTCTTAAATTTTGGGACGTTACAAGTTGGTATCAACGCCTTTGTTTGAGGGATTCAGGCATACTCTGGGTGGGTTAGAACTCAAACTGAGGATTTGGCATATTTTTAAAAAGGAAATGTTTTATAAAAAAAAGTTTTTTGATAAAAGAAAGGGGTTTGGTGCATCCAATTGACCGACCTGAAGTAAGTTTTCCCAAAATACCCATACATGCTTAATGATATGCCTTGATTTGTGAAGAATATCTTCAGACACTTGAAACGAACTTCATCACTTGGCATATCGTACCCTGCGAAGTCGGGCTTATTCGTACAAGCATTTTCGGATGCTGACCTTAGGGGATGTGGATTAGATAGAAAAAGCACAACTGAAGGATGCCAATTTCTCGATGGCAAACTTGTTGGTTGGCAATCCAAGAAGCAAATGTGTGTGTCCTTGTCAACAGTTAAAGCTGAATATATAGCTGATGCCTCATGTACATCTCAAGTCATTTGGATTCAAATTCAGCTTTGTGACTATGGCTTAAGCATGAAACGATTCCCACTATATTATGACTCTGAAAGTTCTATTCGCATTTGTCACAACCCAGTGCACCACTCAAAGACGAAACACATAGCACTGAGGTATCATTTCATTAAGGATCACGTCGAAGATGGCAACTTTGAAATTCATTTCGTAAGATCCTCTTATCAATTAGCTGACATATTCACAAAATCCTTACCTGAGACAACCTTCAACAGAATTCTTCAAGGTCTGGGAAAGATGGAAGTTGAATTTGTACCAAAACACCTTCGCTTTAATATAGTTTTCGATGCGAATCGATGCGAACGCTCGCATTGACTCGCAGTCCACTATTCATGAGTGGTTCGGTTTTACCAATATCCTTTTGTACTTAATGTATAATGATCTCTTTTGTTTTGCTTGGTTTTCAAGAAAATTCCAAATTTTCAAAAATCATTTATTTGGAACATCCAAAAATACTAAAGTATTCATTTTTTTTTGCTACACAAATTGGCACGAGCTCTCTCTCTAATTCGTTTCCGATTTTTTTGGGACACGAATTGATACAAACGTTTGCCCTAATTCGCATAAAATTTTTTGTTTATTTTGTTTGACATTATCTTGTTTTCCTTTGTATATTATGTCTTTAAATTTTATTTTAGTTAAAATTCATACATATATATATATATATATATATATATATATATATATATATATATATATATATATTATTTCTCTTTTAGAAAATTTCAAGATTGCAAAATTATTTTATTTGTGTTTCTTTTTCTTTCTATTATTTTCTAAAATCAAAAAACACCAAAAAACTATCTTAGACACATACAAGGATCACCAAGGATCATGTTCGTTATATCTCTCAATTCATGTGATGGGACAGGTATAAATTTCTTTATCTATGAATTAACTAAGTGTCCCCAGAAGCATGTTGTTTTATGTAGTCCAAAGCGTCAATGGACTCAATGTGAAGCCTTAATGAATCGAATCTACGACTCTTTTCTTTTCCAACCAAGCTGTTAAATTCACATCAGTCATGAGCTACCTTACTCTTGTCACTTTGAGTTAATAGTTATCTAGTTAGTCCCTTTTGTATAGCAGAGATACATTTGATTCTCTGGAACCATCTTCACACCTCTCCATTGCCGTCGCACTCATAAATGTAACCCTTGAGACTCTTAACAGTTCCACTGAGGTTTATGGTTACGCAACTTTTGTGTTAATGATCTTAACTTCGTTCACCATGCACTGAGTGAAACCCAAAATGCAACACAGTTAACTGAATTGACGGTGAACAATTAAATGTTCAAAATTTTCATCATGGAATTAACGAAAGCCACCTTCGTGGTCCATACCAAGGAATCTCTTTTTCTTTTGTGAGATCTTTATGAAGTTTTCTGGTTCCAAGTAAATTCTTCCCACAAGATCCATTTTTTTTAGGTTTTAAAGTTTAATCTTGTCACCAAAATAACTCCACCTACTTGTTTTAACTGACTACACTGGTCACACGAGTACTTCATCCAACATTCGTACTTATATCAAATTCATTGTTTGGTTGGAAATTTAGCCACCCTTTAAGCCTCATTAAAAGATGCCTTTCAATGTTTTTTTATTAAAAATTCGATCATATTTCAGTGGGAAATCACATAGACACTTCTTAGTCTCTCTTAACTTTGAAGGAAGAATCATTGTCCGGGATCCACAATATTGTGTTTTCATTGAGACATCACAAAATCCCACATGAAAGTGTTGTTTTATTTCTTTATCTTTGGCACTCTTGCATAGAAATCTCTTTGATTTTCCCAAAGACTTGTTCATGGTAATTGTGGCATTTGTAGTTTCACAGATTCAATGATGTTCGGTTTTATACACACAAGTTTCCTTGTGTCTCAAATGCGGAAGGACGTAGTATTTACTGAAAAGGTTGGGATTGAAAGGTGAGAACAAGATAATGATGACGCGGCTTGTGGTGGATAAAATTTCGAAATTTACGTGTGTGGAATTTGAAACGCTTCCAAGTATAATGCCACATGACACCTTTATCATTCCACCTAAAACTACCTCTATCCTGATTACCATTGCACCATACCATCCACCAGTTTCTTCACAACAACAAACTAGCATTCCTCTTTATACCCCAATGTTCACTGATTCTACAGTTCCACCTACTACCACTACCATACCTCTAGTTTCAGTCAACGTATCTAATACAGGGGCTAAACCTTCAAGTTTCTCAACCCATGTTTCACATCTTGTTTCCCCTCATAACCGAGATGACCGGGATATGATCTTTGATGATGCTGAAGATGAAGATCTTGGGGGATTCACTTATAGTCCTTTCCAAATACAGACTGAGAGTGAAGGTAATGTGCCTTTTCGAAAGGGCATATTCAGTCCCTACATGAAAAGATTGATCAACTGCTTCTCATTTCCCAGGATTCGTCTTCTAACGCTTACTTTAAAGCAGCAATTGAGTCTATCTTAGACATAATCACGAAGGAGCATTCTGCTAATGCTGCAAAGATGAATAAAGGAGTTGCTGATTCTGCTGAAGTTTGCAAAACTACAACCAAAAAATTTGATAAACCAATTACTGACACTACCACCATTATGGAGAATTTCCAAACAACCTTCAACTCCAATACCCCTACAACCAATGAAGCTCTAAAGAGTCTGGGTTCTCTCTTCAAATATGAGAAAACGAAATTGCAAGAGATTCATACTGGTCTGAAAACTGACCATGAAGCATTTCAAACTTCAATATCCTCTCAAATTTCCAAGCTTCAAGATGAATCAGCGAAAGAGAGTGACATCACACACTCTCTTTTCCCTCAAGATGAAAGAAGTAAAGGTGTTATGTACGAAACTAGAAGCTTCAGAGAAACAAGTCGATGATTTGTTATCTGATAGAGTTATCATGCGAAGCTGTATTACAGATGTTACAGGAATGCTCTCTGATATCCTTGAGACCAGGGACTCAATGCTTATCATCACAGTCTGAAAGCATCTACAAGAGAAAGTGCGACCTATTTTTTCCATGCTTCACAGGCTAGAAGATGTTTTAGATCAAAGCTTTAATCAGAAACAATGGGGAGAAGGTGTGTTTGGTGGGTCAAGAAAAGTAAGAAAAGATGATCCCAACGTTCTAGTAAAACATGTTGCTCAATTTAAACCTTTTGTCAAGAAAGAACCTAAGGGCAAGGAAACATTGTTCAGTAATGATCCCATCATCGATAGTAGTAAAGAGGAAGAAGAGTTCGATGAAAACAAGCTTAAAAGGAAAAAGGCTCGTGAAGCTGAAATGGATGAGCACCAACGAATCATCTGAGAGGCTTAAGAGAAAGAACGTGTTGAGAAAGAGGCTCGGACCACTCTTCAAAGCAAGAAGATTTTATTCCCCAAATGGACCTTGACGTGAATCCATAATGTTGATGTGAATTTACCCAACCAATATTCGTTAGAGCCAATTGTGTCATTTGATCTTCAAAAAACATAAGATCCACAATGAGATCTACCAATTACTCCAAAGGCTTTCAGGTTTCGTGCTTTTGTGAAGGTTGCGAATGTTCCACTCACATATAGCGGGGCTATTCAGATGCTGTTCACTTGTTATCTGAAGAATATGAAGCCTCAACACGAAACATGCTCCTTAAGTAAAATAACTGGTGTGGAAGTCATAGGACCAACTGAGATTGATAACTTTTCTGAACACGAAGTTCAAAGTTGCAAGAGGTTTAACCAGTCAATGCTATGAGTTCACTTTCATAGACTTACCTTGTCTTAACCCCAATCAAGTCTTACATTCATGAGATTGGGGAAATGGATGTTGAGGTAGTCGTAGTGTTACAAAAGAAGCCTTCTGCTTTTTGTAAGGAATCTCCAAAAGACTTTGAAAAGCTGAAGTTAGGGAGGATTTACATTAGGGAATGGTATGTGGTGTATCAAGCTATGGAACGAACTGATGCAGACTTTCACAGGGGATGCTTCTTCCTTTCTGACAAGTATTTGTACACTAAGTCCTTCATTGAGTATATCCTGGACTTAGTGAAAAAATTCAAAGGCAACAGTAAGGATGATCTCAAGTGCTTCACTGATATGATTTTGTGGTACATGCAAATTCTGTGACAACCCGAAATTTTAATTTGTATAATCCTTATAGTGAAACACTTCAAATAATATTCAAATACGTTTCAGTACATTTTTGGCCGGTTTTAATTTCATTTGGGTATTTTATTTTATTTTATTTTCGTCAACCGGATAAATAAAAGGAAGTATCGTTATGACCAAGGTGTATCAAGTTAACATTTTAACACCTTAACAAGGTGTTTACGGCCAAATTGGGAAGTTTGGGCCGTAAACTCCTTCTTGATCATGAGCTCATGGTTAAGGCATGAGTTTACCCTTATTCCATCACTCCCTCACTTCACACCTTCAAGTTCAAGAACACCCCACCACTTTTCTCTCAAGTAGCATCACACACTTCTTCAAATCTGCAAAAATGTAAGTGTTTTCCTTCCTAGATTCATTTATACAACACTTAATCTAGTGTTTATACATCATTTCATCCATGGATTCTTCATTTTTTCTTAGATCTTCAAGTGTTCTTCAAAACACCAAGAACACACACTATTGTTCTTGGGTCCTAGACACTCTTACAAGCTTCCTATAAGTAAGTACACTCCTCCTAACTAATTACTTTCTTAGTGTGCTAGCTAATCTGTGGAAAGAACATCAAAATCCCCAAGAACATATGTGTTTACGATCAAGGGAGATCCTTGAACCGTAAACACCACAAGGTAGTGTTTAGATGCCCCTAACACCTTCTATAGCTTGGATGAAAGACTAGAAACTTGCATGCATGAGCTAGAAACAACAAAACACAAAATGGTTTATGTAACCATGAGTTTACGGCCGTAAACTCAAAAGGGTGGTCCAAGGACCGTAAACTCCAAAAGTGAATCATTTTGAGCCCTAACCACTTCCTAAGCCTTTGATTCAAACGTAGAACCCTTCTTTGTGAAGCATGAGACCTTAAAACACACAAATGAACCATTACCATGAGTTTACAACTATAAACTCATGGGGTAAATGGTCCAGAAACCATAAACACATATAAGGGCTACCAAATGAGGTGTAAACTCCAATGTGAGACCATACTCTCCTTAGAAGCAACCCTTAGCACTCCTAGCACTTGAAACAAAGTGTATTCATGCATTAGGATGTCCTTACTTGATTAATTAGTTATTAATTGACTAGTTAGATACATATATGTTTATTATATGATAACTAGGACCATTGTGTATGTTCAAGTCCTCACTTGGCACCTAGCACCTTGTCCGACACTTCTTCACAAACCACTCACTACAAGTGAGTTCATACCCCTTAATTAACCTTTGAAATGCTTTTAAATGTTTTTAAATGCTTTATGGGGGGATACAAGTTGAACCATGTTAGTTATTAGATTAATGACATGTGATTAATAACTAACGTGCAAATGGATTTTTCATACTTTAAACTGTTTTACCAAACATATGACTTCAAACTGTTTATCAAACTATTTTATACATCAACATCTTTATCAAATTTACTTTTCTATACTAAACCTTTCTTGTACAGTTTTCAAACTTATATATTGTTAAAACCATGTCTATTACCTATATAGTTATATAAATAAGGTTTGAAGGACTTAAGAGAGATAACCCACTTTACTTCCTGTCCTTGTTTGGTTGTGTTCTTAAAGTACCCGGTTGTTTGTCCGAGTGTCGTTGAACCCTTAGTTATATATTATGTATATATGTATAGATATAAATACTTTTATCTCAGTTCAGTACATTCAATCATACAAACAAGTTTACTAATAAACTATAATAGGTATAGTTTAGAGTTATACTACTTACGACTCCTAGTTCAATGAAGAATACAAGAGTCAGTTCATTCATGAGTCATTACTTATTACTGTGAGAACATATACAACTATACTATGATGAAAACATATACAACTATACTAGAATGAGAACATATACAACGATACTATGATGAGAAACAATACATTACATATACAAGAATACCATAATAAAAATGTGATCCAATGTATCGGAGGATGCCATCATTGTCATGGCCCGAGTTGTAACAAGAATCTCCTGGAGGGAGAGCCTGAGTTTGCATATAGATCTATACTGGATTGACTATCATACACCTTGCTGCTAGCTAGCTACAGCCGGACCTGCAGGTCTGCGGGTGCCAAACATCATACCTTTTGACAACTTACATTGTCGTGTTTTCCAGTCGATAGTATGGTACAATTAATCACATAATACCTTGATATAAATCTGGTTTAAGGTAGTTAGTACAACAGTAGTTCCTATATTAGGAGTTTCAAACTTTTACCAACACTTACAAACATTCACATACTTTTACTACAAATGTTTACAAACTCGTACTTCAAACAACGGTTCAAACATTTTGATACAAACATTGACACTAAATACTTATGAACTCACTAGCTTTAATGCTGATACTCGCTTTCAAAATAACTTGTATTCTCAGGTCATCAGTAGACAGGTACCGATGCCAGCTTTTGAGAAGATGGAGCGCATACAAGACTCCTCTTATATTTTGATTCATATTTTGGTTTCTTATATACTACATGTCACACTTGTATTGAAATTATATATTTAATGAAATGGATGATGTTGTTTACTTGTTTACCATTATACTGTGTTAAGATACTATACGTGACGTCCTCCGCCCTAGAACGTTTCCACCGTTCTCGGTTTTGGGGTGTGACAAATTCGACATACTTTTTTTGGCATTATTGCCAAAGTTTATAAAGCTCAGAAGTGAATTCAAGGCTAATGAGTTCGGGCCTCAATTGACGCAAAGGGGGACATTTTGGGCATTAGATGTTGTATCATTGGGCTTTTAGTTTAGTCTTTTGTATTAATGAGTTGGGCCTGTCCACTCGTATTTATTTCTAGGGTTAGAGGATTTAAAAAGCATGAATGCATCATATATTTGTGAACTCAGATCATTATGCTATATCCCTAATCACGCCTCTACAGTAGCAATTATTCATAGAGTTCTTCTGAGGTGTGACACTTAATCATTCAACATTCTTTGAATCATCTTTGTGTTCTTGTTTTACTTTCTTTGAATCTAAAGATCCTTAAGGATTTTAATCCTAACAACTCAGATACACCATTAAGTTGCGGTGGCTCAGGAGGTGTCAATTGTGAAACAATTCCACATTCCTTAAGATAGTCGTGGAACTCGATACTAAGATACTCAACACCTCTATTAGATCTAAGCATCTTTATCCTTAAGATAGTCGTGGAACTCGATACTAAGATACTTAACACCTCTATCAGATCTGATCATCTTTATCCTTAAGATAGTCATGCAACTTGATACTAAGATACTCAACACCTGTATCAGATCTGAGCATCTTTAGCTTCCTACCCAATTGATTCACCACTTCTTGCTTAAACTCTTTGAACTTTTAAAAAGTTTCTAACTTATACTTGATTAGGTAGATATGTCCATATCCACTGTAATCATCAATAAAAGTCACATAGAAGCGGTTTGAATCCCTTGTGGTGGATTTGAAGGGCCCACACACATCTATGTGTAAAAGATCCAACAATCCTGCACCCCGTTCACAAGTACCAGTGAAATGCGATTTTTTCATCTTTCTAAGCAAACAATACTTGCACGTGTCATCTAACAAAAAACTCTAACACTCCATCCTTTTGGAGTTGGGCTATGCGCTTCTTATTGGCATGTCTAAGACGACAATGCCACAAGCATTCCTTATCTAAACCATTAGACAAATCAATATGCAAAACATTATTTACTATGTTATCTACAACCATCATAGTTTCATATACACCATTACA